CAGAGCAGACCTTCCTGTGGGGGTCGCAGGGCTCGGGTTCCCTCTTTCATAGGGGGTCAGTCCCCCCATTTGGGGTTCATCATGCTTTCAGCCAACAATATCTTAGCCAGCCCTCTAGTTTGTCTTTCTTCAGGGGTTTCTCAGCTCAGAAAGGTTTTTGCCCTCGAAACCTTCCAACTTTTAAAGTTTTCGTTTTATGTCTGGAGCTGCCTGATTCATGAAAGCCATATTGATGGCCATCTGATTCTCTGGGGCCTCTGGATTAATGGGAGTATAAAGCCTCTAGGAGGAGCTCCAGGTATGCCCCAGTAGACTCATCCCTTCCCTGCATCACCTGACTGACCTTAGACAAATTGGTAGGGCACTTAGCAGCTGCCCAGAAACCCCCCATAAGAATCTGGTGATAGGCCTTTAGGCATTCTCTACTTTTGGGAGTGTTATAGTCCCATCCCTCTGTTGGGCGCGTGAGAGGAAAAGCAGCTGCAATCAAGTCCTCATTCTCTGTCGGTCTCCCATCGTCTCCAGGGACTGCGTGTCTGCATTGCCGAAGGATGCGGTTCCGTTCCTCGGTGGTGAATAGGATATTTAATAGCTGTTGGCAATCATCCCAAGTGGGTTGGTGGGTAAAAAGAATGGTATCCAGGAGGGAAACTAGGGCCTGAGGCTTCTCTGTGAAGGAGGGAGTCTGTAACTTCCAATTATACAGGTCACTATTAGAAAAGGGAAAGTAGACCATGGGTGCAATTCCGCCCTCCCTCAGGGGCCCAATCTCCCTCAGGGGAAGAGCTGGTACTGTCCTCCCCTTCCCCTATGAGCGAGCGTGCAATGGGCTGGGCTCGGCCATGGGAGGGGCTGGCTCAGCCATGGGAGCCAGGGACAGAGACCAGGAGGAACTGGAGGAAGAGGCTCAGGACCTGCGCTCTCTAGGTCTATCCTGAGCACTCAATGGGGCCGCATAAGGGGGTGGGAGCAAATCTTCCTCTGGCACCGAGGGGAGGACTTCAGGACCCAATGGGTTTTTGGTCTGAACTTTCTTCAGGGGAAGCAAAGTGGCTGACCCCTTAGGCCCTGATGGTGGGGGCGGTAGTAAGGGGCACAGCCAGTCGGGAGGGGGGACAACGACCAGATATCACCAACCTAGGATGTAGGGGATCTGGTCAGGGTGCCCCATTTCCCTGAAGACAACTCCTTGAACCCTGTAAATGAGGGACAAGTTAAAAGACCCCTCAGGCAGCCATTCGACTTCAAAGGAGGGCCATTCGATAGTGCAGAGGGTCCGGAGGCAGGTCAGCTTGACACGGAGTCTGGACATGGTCGAGGCCGCCAGTGTGTAATCTTGAAAATGACTAAAAACTAGATCAAGGGGAGCTGCTGCTGCTGAGACTTTCTGGCCCATCGTGGGATAATCGTCAAGAAAAAGGAATATAAGAAGAGGAATGAGAATGAGAAGTAGGATGGAAAGTCAATAGACAAGGCGGAACTCTGAACAGAGGGTGAGGACAGTACGAAATGGTGGCTCCCTAGAGATGGAAATGAATATCTCGCAGTGCATGGAGTCAGCCGAGAAGGCCACCCCTGTCCCTTTCCCAAAAAGGTTTGCCCAGCCTGGATTCCACATCAGACTCAACCAGAAACTTGCGTCTGGCCTGCCCGGATTCCACGTCGGGCTGGGCCAAGACTCTGGGCTGTCCCGCCTGGATTCCACATCAGGCTGGAGCACGACCTCCTATCAGAGGAGTCAGGTTGTCCCCCGTTCTCCTCGAGCCCTGGGATCAATAACATGTCCATCTGATCTCTGTTGAGCCCAAAGATGTCCAGACTACAGTAAAGCAAGAGAAAGAGAGAGAGAGAGAGAGAGAGAGAGAGAGAGAGAGAGAGAGAGAGAGAGGAAAGCAGGCAGAATTTACCAAGGCTGTCTCTGGTGGCACGCTCCCGTGAGTCTGGGGTCTCTATTCTCGAATCCCAGACGAGCCCCCAAATGTTAGGGTTCAAGAATTGAGAATAATTCCCACAGATACCAAGAAGATTGTACAAAAAGTTTATTTAGGAACTTAAAAACAACCAATTGGCGGCTAGCCAGGCACAGACTGCATAAGCCAAAGATGGAGTCTGGCCCCAACAATAGCAGGCAGGGGCTTTTATTGCGGAACTCCATAGAAACCCACACGCGCGCCAAGCATCTTTTAAAATGATTGGATGCCCCCACATCCTGAGTACGGGGAAGTTCTGATTGAACCGGGCTGTCTTCAGGGCATTGGAATGTGCTGTTATCTTTTGGGGGCCAGAAGTTTCTGTCTATACCTTATAAGGCTTTTACATGCCCAGGCTTGCTTAACCTATAGCTTTCCAGCAGGGAATAGTAACTGGAAATTTACAACATGCCTGGGTTTGTCCAGGCTTGCCTGAAACAGCTAGCCAAAATGGAGTCAGTGCATTCCGACTCTTGCATTTTAACTCTTCAGTTGCATTCATAGGAAATAGTAGGAAAAGATCTTGGTATTTTGTGAATCACAGAGGAAAGTTAAGCTTGTAAAAAAAGAAATTAGAATAGTTGTAGATTCTGGAACAAGCATTATCTGGAACTGTAATAGTCCTGATTATTCTTTACAAAGTTATTGTGAGACATGACTAAGAAAACTGGCAAAGCTTTAATTTGTCATTATTTATATAGCACCGACTGCTCTTCTGATCATCCTCCTCAAATCACCAATCTGATTACCAGGCTATTCCCCATGGATATAACTGCTCCCACAGGTCCCAGCTAATATCTTATTTTTGTGGCTGTTTTTGCAGTGCTGGGGATCAAATTCAGGGTACTGTGCAATCACATTCTATCACTGAGCTACACCCCAGTCCTTAGATTTGTTTTTTTGAAACGGGGTCTTACTATGTGGCTCAAACTGGCCTTGAAGACTACTATACCCCCCCTGCTGGCCTCAAACTCACAATCCTCCTGCCTCAGCTTTCCCAAATGCTAGGATTAAGCTGGGCACGTGGCTCAGGCCTTTAACCCCAGCACTTGGGAGGCAGAGGTAGGCGGATCTCTGTAAGTTCAAGGCCAGCCTGGGGTCTATATAGTGAGTTCCAGGCCAGTTGGGGCTACAGGGACACCCTGTCTCAAAAAAAATAAGGATTATAGGCCACTATGCCCAGTAGCCCATTTCTTTTAAAGCACTTTTTTGTTCCTTAACTTTCAGGGATCGCCAAATGCCTTCCTACTCAACTGGCAGATGTACATTTACATTCTTATTTATTCAAGAGATTGGTTCTCCTTGCTAACTAGTGAGCAGCAGTCTCACAGTTGGGACAGGAAAGTTTTCTGTTGTCCTTGGCTAGCCTGCCTTAGGCTTTGTATCTGGCTTTCAGGGTGTGGCTTTCTCAACATTCCCACCCTATTTTGCAATACTGCCAAACTCTACCTAAAACTCTTTATGTGTGAGGGAGAATTCTGTGCTCACCCCAATGGCAGCAGCAGTCTCTTAACACACATGGGTCCTGGTTCACATTGTTTTTTTGACCCTTCATGCTTGTCAGACAACTTTTTGCTCCTATTCCTTCTTTACAGTAGTTTTCATCCTTTGCCTGTCCTGAAGGGAATTTCCTTACCACTCCCACAGGGGTAAGTACGTTTGCCCACATTCTTCCACCAGAGGCAATGAGGAAAGATGGTCTACCGCTTCTCCCCAAAGTACCCTAAGGCTTTTGTACCCCTTAAGAGGAGAACTGGGGGAAGTGGGCAGGGTTTTTCACATGCCACCAATTACTTCCTGCATGACCAGGACTTGCTGGTGCTCTGCTTTCCTGTGAGCCCCAAGTGTGGCCCCTGGCCCTATGAGGGTACACAAAAGTCCATTTAACTGAGACTTTCAGCTACTCCAAACTGACACACTAGCCCACAAACAGCCCTTGAGAATTTGTAAAATGTTTGCTAATGTTTCTTACCTACTGGTAGAGACAATGTCCACTTTTCTCTTGTGTTTTAAAGATGAAAGAACTTGTATCCTCTCTCTCCTTAAGGGCTTATCACTCTTAGTTTACTTGTTTGCTTTGTAATCTCAGTTTGAGTTGCTTAAGAAAAGTTGCAGTTTTGCAGATTACTGTATTTTTGCTTGTTAAACTGGTAATGGACAACCTTCAGAAACAGAACTAATCACTGAAGCTGATCCTTCTGCAATTTTATTTCTATCCTGCAACTACTAAAACTTAGTTATCTTTGTCTCCTCTATTAGACATGGAAACAAATAGATGTCCCAGCAGTCATAGGGCACACACATTAAGATGCTCAAGCCCCTTACATAAAATAAGCCTGCACAATCCCCTCCTACACTTTAAATCATCTCTATAAATTATCTGTAATACCTAATATGTGTACAGAGCTGTTCAACTATATAGTTAAGCGAACAATGACAAGAAGTCTGTACACAGTTAATATAGATGGAGTATTTTTTTTTTTTTTTTTTTTTGGTCTTTTTGAGGCAGGGTCTCCCTGTAGCCCCAGCTGTTCTGGAACTCACTATGTAGGCTGGGACTAGAGGCGTGCGCCACCACACCCGGGTAGATGGGAGTATTTTTTCAAATCTTTTGATCCATAGTTGGATATGTGGATATATAGAATCCACACCCACAAAGGACTAACCATACTGTATCTTCCCTTATGTAAGCCCCTATTCTAAACATCCTATTAGATACACAGTAGTCAGAATTGCATGGGATGATATATCACAAGTATTCATGTTTTCAAGAACAGAAAACCTATAAAGAAAATACTGGCTTCTTAAAACACCCATGGAAGTACTACAGAATCGAAGGACAAGAGCCAAAGGTAAACAGGGGATCATATTCTCAACTACCTTCTCAAATCTCATTTGTAATCTCATGGAAAACTTGTCTACAATGTCAAACAAGCTCAGAACACAAGGAACAAATCAGAAAGATCTAGTCTAAACCACTCTTCTTCAATTAAGGTCTAAGAAAAGGTGAAATAAGTGAATAGCAAAGTATGGATCCATAATTCCTTATTTATTCTTCTCTTACAAAAGACACTTAAAACAAATAAATATAAAATGGTATGTGTCATATTTAACAATGGCTAAATACACATTTTCTTAATATTCCTCACAGGAATAAACTAATAAATCTTCAGAAATATACCGACCCTTATCCACCTCCCACTTTTTTTTTCTTTTAAACAACAAAAAGCAATTCTTTTAATTCTCCACAATTTTTAACAATAATTTATCAAAACAAGTAATTTAACACTACTCAGGGACCAAGACATGTAAGTTAACAAGTTTTAAAAATACACGTGTGTATAAACACACACACTATGATATTGTCCAGAAACCCCAAATAATGAATGTCTTACCAGATTAGTTTCCTAGGTGACAAGTCATAAGTCTCCAGAAGTGCAAATAAACACCAGAAAGCCCAAAGCAAAGATCGTACTGTACATCAACATGCAGGACCAAGAATCCCATGAGTCACTCGGCATCAGGATTCAGTGATAATTTACAAATTAACCTCTTCACAGTAGAAGGCAGTGCTTCATGATGGATGCGGATCATGGCCACTGCTGAGACATACATACCACTGTGGCTGATTACTCAGGAATCCAAATGTACCTCCAGAGCATGTAATCTGGAGTATGAATTTGAAGACAGACAGTACAAATAGCAATTGAATGGAACCTGCCTGCAGCAATCTTTTATTTTTGATTTCCTTTAAGGCTACATAAAATCTGCACATAAGGAAATTAATTCTCATAGTAAAAATACCCCCCACGAATGGCCAAGGTATCAGAATCCACAGCAAAAAGGTGTTATGCTACTTTCTATTCTGCAGGTGTACTTTCTTGTGAGTCTGCAGGGTTAGGAGCAATTCTTTCTGGAAATACTAGCTTCTCACAAACTGCCTCCTTGATTGGTAAGTATTGTGATATTTCATTAGGTTCCGTGAAGAAGGACGGTGGAACATGCTAGGAAAAACATAAAATCATATTAGCATACACTTAGTTATAGTGCTGACCCCTTGAAGTCTTCTGGTTCAAGCATTCACAGAGCAGACCAACTTCACAATCAGGCACATCATATTCCTATCAGGAGCAGCATTAAGTGCTTCCCAAAATAAATATTTCCCGGTACTTAATCACTGAACTGTACTGCTGAATGGTTTCCAAAGAGCTGTAAGGATTTAATATACTTTGATGAAATCCCACCCTGATTCCTATTTCTTTGGTAACTTGAAATGACTAGCCTTCAGTTAGAGCCCAGAATGCAGTCTCTCACAGAAAGCTGAGTAACGTTTCTAACCCAGTACACTCTATACTCAGAGATAAGCACAAAGGGTAAAAAAACATTGTTTGTAGAAAAATACTACCTTCTAAGCTACTCATAAAAGCCTAGTACTAAGGAAAGGCTTCACACATTCCAGAGGAGCAAAAAATACAAGAAAATTATTCCAGAATACACCAGTCAAGGCATCAAATTGACCATATTTCTGGAAGAAAAAGAAGACTGTACAGAAAGAAATCGTTGAGTGGCAGTGGCAGGTGGAAAGCAGAGTCAGTGGCGCCAGCTTTGGTTTTGTCACCAACCACACGACCAGGGCAGTCCCACCTCTGGGGCTCAGTTTCTTCAGGAAAAAAATGGAAATCAGGTAAATGCCAGCTGAGGCATACAGCAACTCCAGCTGTCCTATGCTTGAGACAAGCTCAGAAAAGCTATACTCAGCAGGATTTATCAGACAGAGCCCAGAACCAGAAGGATGAATGGATTTACATATGTAACTTCAGGTGAATGGGTGGGATTAACATGATACCATACTTTAAATGAAAACATTAAAATTCAACTTCTGGGGCTAAAGAGATGGCTTGGCAGTTAAGAGCACTGGCTGCTCTTGCAGGTTCCCAGCACCCACATGGCAGCTAACAAACATCTGTAACTCCAGTTCCAGGGGATTCCAAAGTCCTCTTCTGACCTCCGTGGGCACTGCACAACATGGGTGCATTTACACACATGCAGGCAATACACTCATACACATAAAATGAAAATAATAAATATTTAAAATTCAATTTCTAAAAAACTGCAATTTAAGTATTTACCATTAAATTAGCAATTTTGCTCTCTCGTGATGTATATTCTCGTAACATGTAGGTCTTGTCGGCCTATATTTAAAAATAAAAAATTACAATAAATTTGTTTATATTGTGTTCACAAAATCCTTTCTATACACAGACTGGTTGGCGTTTCAGGGCAGGTTGTTAAGGTAGAAGAGTCTGCTGAGAGTGCCTGCCTCCAACAGGAATTTCACATTCACATTGAGAATTCTGAACTGTTATTTCCTATCCCTATAAATCCTAGTAATACCAGAGGGCTGGGTGTGGCGGTGCAGGTGGACCTCTGTGAGTTCAAGGCCAGCCTGGTCTACACAGTGAGTTCCAGGCCAGTTCCAGACCTTGTCTCAAAAAGACCAAAAAATAGTCAATCAATCAATCAATCAATCAATCCATCCATTCATCCATCCTAGTAATACCAGACACACATATGAATTCAGATTTGGTAACTTCCATGTAATAAGAAACACAAAGATTGTAATTTGAAATATATGCATACCTGTAGTAAGATATGAGAGATTTTTATGGACTAAATCTTTTCCTTAAGGTACATTATTTCACTAGTTCTTTTTAAGAAAAATCTTAATTTTTTCTTATGCTTTCCCATTTCCACAAACATCTTGTCAAATTCTTCACTTAAAAATCATATTTTATATATTCAGATTTTCCCACTTAAGGATTAAAGTTAGGTTAAAGAACTGTAATTTATGGTAGGCATGGTAGCACATGCCTTTAATCCCAGCAGAGTCAGGCAGATCTTTGTTTGAGGCCAGCCTGGTCAACAAAACAAGTTTCAGGCCAGGTGAGGCTACAGAGAGACCCTGTCTCAAAAGAATTAAAAAAAAAAAAATCTTCAATTTACTATAATTTGATTTTTGATGAAACACTTTTCAAGATAAGAGAAACTACAAAAATATACCCCTTTAAGGTTTTAACCTTTTATATCAATAAAAACAAATTAATACTCGCTACAAAAAGTCAAGTAAATAATACAAAAGTATGAGTAAGAGTTGAAGCCCCAATCAAAGCCATCTGGCAACACAATTATTCACATTTCAAGACTTACACAAGATCTTAAATAGATTCATACTGAACTTCAAGAATTCAACACTGAGATGGATGCCTTCCCATGTTAACTAAATTTAATGCTCTGCCTTCAATTTCAATGGTCATATATCTTTCTGCTACATGGATATAAAATAAACAATTTAATCAACGTCTACTGAAAGGGCACTGAGCTCCTTGTTTACATAAAAATTGCTGTGAATGCTCATATATGTACAACTCAGATCAACTGCATGATGAGTATTTATAATTACCATACAATAGAACCTTTAAGACTTACATTTCACTCAGAAAGGAAAAATATAATACTCTGCCTCACTTTTACAAAGGAAAAAGATTGATCACAGTCATTATGCTGCTTCAAGAAAGTCTCTAGGTAAAGATCTGGGAAATGCTGATCTGCTCCAAACTAGTGTTTAGCATTTATCACAAGCAGGTTTGCATTCCAGCTCTGCCATCTGCTGACCATGACTCTTGAACAAGCTATTTCACTCTACTTGGTTACTTCAGCATGATTTCCTAGGGCTATAATGAGCACTAATCATTACTGTGACTATTGTGATTAGTGCTGCTGGTCTCTTCTCTAATTCTTCCCTCTAAATAAGTCTGAATCTGAAGTAAAAAAATTTATTCAGAAAAGATAGGCCACTATGAAGCTACTGGAAAAACTTTTATGACTCAATTTAAATTCATTCCACCTTTAAAAAAATTGTTTACTTTTATTTTGTGTGTGTGTGTGTGTGTGTGTGTGTGTGTGTGTATGAGTGTTTTGCCCATATGTAAGTACACTATATGTGTGCAGTGTCCAGAGGCCAGAATAGGGCATCAGATGGCCAGGAACTGGAGTTCAAACAGTTGTTAACCACCATGTGTGTGCTGGGAACTGAATCCAGGTCCTCTGCAAGAGCAGTCAGTGCTCTTAACTGCTGAGCCAGGTCTCCAGCCCCTCATTTCACCTTTTAACACTTTAAAAAAAGACAGGGTCTCCCTGTAATCCCAGTTGGCCTAGAACTCACTATGTATGCCAGGCTAGCCTACATCTAGATCTCACAGAAATCTGTCTGCCTCTGCCTCCTGAGTGCTGAATTAAGTCATGTGCCAACAGGCCCCAGCAGTGGTTATTTCTAATATTAGGACATTATATAAATAATTTGTACTATAAACAAAGGTTAAAAGCTAAAGGACAGTTGTGTTACACACAGGTTAAATACATATAAAATTTGGGGGCACAGCATCACTAACTCCCTAGGGAGTGTCTTTCAGAAAACATTTTAATCACCAGAATTTTGGAAAAAAAATCAAAAAGACATTTTTTTTGACAACAATGCATAGTCATTAAATCTGAAACACTCTAAGTTATAGGTTAATAGATGACTATGTAATATAAAATTCTCAAATAACAAGGCAACAATACAAGCAGGACCAATATAATTTGTATTTTCATTACATGAGCATCAGTACCTCATGGTAGAGCCTCGTGTCATTCATCCTGATAAGCACCCCATCAATTCTCAAGAAAAACCGCAACAGCAGGAAAAAACTTGAAGGCATTACTCTCTGGGGGGATAAAAACAGTATAGTAAGATGTAATGAAAATTAAAGACTTTATTACTTTACTAAAAGAAATTTTAAAAAGCATTATAAGCTAAAGTCCTAGAAAAGATGCTCCTTCATTTATGATGAGGTCGTATCCTCATCACAGCTGAGAGTATCTCAAACTGCACTTAATCCACCTAACTTATCCAACATCATAGTTCAGCAATGCTGTGCAACGCAGGGTATTGGCGTTTACAGCTGCATGGCTGACCCAGACTTCAGCTCACTGCCTGTATCAGGGCAGGATCATACCACGGGCTGCTAACCTAGGAAAAGATCAAAACTCAAGAGCCAAAGTACAGCTGCTACTGAATGTTTATCACTTTCATACCAGTATAAAGCCAAAAAATTCTAAATTTGAAGCACTGCAAGTCAGAGACCAACTAAGCTAGAGATTCTTTGCCTTGGCTCTAACAGGTCTGAAAGATTTTTACAAGTTATTTAATAGTTTCAGTTTCCTAAGATGGGGGGGAACAAAACTTTTTTTTTTTTTTTTGTCTTTTTGAAACAGACTTTCCCTGTAGCCCCAGCTATGTAGACCAGGCTGGCCTTGAACTCAAAGATGCACCTGCCTCTGCCTCCCAGTGCTGGGACTAAAGGCATATGCCACCATGCCCAGCAAAAAAAAAAACTTTTTTATGAGGAAGGCAGACACAGGTGGATCCCTGGAGCTCACCGCCTAGCCCACTTTGCCAGTTATAGCTCAGTTATAGGCCCCTGAGAGACCCTGTCTCAAAAAGAAAGGTAGGATGGCACCTGAGGAACACCACCCAAGGTTGTCCTCTGGCCTCACAAGCACACTCACCTGTGTGCATGCACATCCACACCCACTAATATAAACTAAGATATGCAAGACTTAAAACGGGCCAAGCGGGGCTGGAGATATGGCTCAGCGGTTAAGAGCACTGACTGCTCTTGCAGAGGACCAGGGTTTGATTCCCAGCACCCACATGGTGGCTACAAACCATCCTTTACTCCAGTTCCAGGGGAATTGGAAGCACTCTTCTGATGTCCGCGGCATTGCACAACACGGGTGCACTCACATACATGCAGGCAATACACTCATACACGTAAAATAAATAATAAATAATATATTTAAAACAAACAAAAAACAGGCCAAGAAGAGAGCTCAGTAGGGTAAAGTGCAAGCTGTGCAAGCATGAAGACCCAAGTCTGATCCCAATACCCACAGAAAAATCAGTCATGGTAAAACGTGCCTAAAATCCCAGTACTGGAGAGACAGGGACAAGAAATCAATAATATCCAAGTTCAGTGAGAGATCACCCTGACTCAATACGCATATGCAAGACTTAAAGCAAACTCAGTAATGGAAATACCCTGTTCCTTTTTTTTTTTTTTTTTTTTTTTTTTTTGGTCTTTTCGAGGCAGAGTCTCTCTGTAGCCCCAGCTGGCCTGGAACTCACTTTGTAGATGACCAGGCTGGCCTTGAACTCACAGAGATCCACCTGCCTCTGCCTCCTGAGTGTGGGACTAAAGGCACGTGCCATCATGCCTGGCTCTACCCTGTTCCTTTTTAAAATATAATACTGAAACTACATATCAATACCAGTAAAATTTTAAAAAAAAAGGAACATAACGACCTCAAGAGTAAAAACAAATCAGTTTATCTGGTCCAATTGTATGTCCTTAAACACCCAAAAGGGAAGTATAACCAAAGAGTAAAGGGGCCAACATAATATCATAAGAGCATACATATATATAACTAAAAGTTACTCGACAAACAACAAA